AACAGTCCCAAAAGGTAAAGCCGGTTGTGATTGGGATTTTGATGAGGATCCATATTTTGGTATAGGAATAGATGATTGTGATGGTACTGGTGATCCACATGTCAACCTTGTATGACCACTTTCCTTGCACCGACTACATGTCGATCTCTTCTTCTCTTCACCCTTAGACGGTATACGATCGTGACTTTTTGGTCGGCCCGGTAGCCTTCTGTCCATGGCTGGTGGCAAAACTGTTTGTAAGTCATCTGGTATGTCCCACTCAGAAGGATGTGGAATAGGGTAGACAATCTCGCCATAAGTCTGTCGATATACTTCTGTAGTGTAGCAATCCATAGCGTATGCGCTTGAATCATCTTGGTTTAGATGAAGAGAAACTTTTATAACATGGCCACACGAATAACCAGATGTTTGCCATTTCATACAACTACACGTCTTTGTATTTAGATCGACAAGCCCATTTAAGTTATTATCCAGTACTTCAAACAAAGTGTTTGAACATGGTTCAACTCTCCATGACGTTGACTTTACAACACGTTTCGTTATCTTTTTTTCTGTCCATGGTGTAACACGATGTTACAATGTTCCTGTAAATTTAAATAAATAATACTTAGTAAAATATATGATAAGTTACGAATTTAAAGAAATAATACCTGCATGGTTTCTTTTCTTGTAGTACCACTGTTGAATAGAGGCTCGAAAAAACTCCATTAATATAGTAATGGGTAATTTCCGGGAATGACGACTTAGAGCGTTGATTGATTCTGCACTATAAGACGTCATGCAACCATATCTTCCCCCAAGTTGATGTACTCTTGACCATCTTTCAAACCCGACATCTTCTAGTGTTTGAGCACACTGAGGCAAAACACGTCTTAAACAGTTTATATGCTTATTAAAATCCACTTCTCGATAAGCTTTTACAACCTTCCAGTATGTCCATTTGTGATTTTTTATACCAGCAGACCTTGATTTTAGATTTATATACAAATAAACACCACAAAGTCCATGAAAAGCATATGGGAAACACCTTCTAACAGCGTTGTCAATTGAGTTTGCCCTATCAGATATGATTGTTAGATTGCTAATAGGACCTATGCAATCCCTAAGATGCCCCATAAACCATGTCCATGAATCAGAGGTTTTAGATTTGCCAACCCCATAAGCTATTGGCAGTATCCCATTGTTAGCATCCATGGCTACTGCTAATAAGTTTACTCCAAGGTATCGACCTTTTAAATGTGCTCCGTCAACTATAATAACTGGGCGCATGCAATTAATAAACGAACGAATCTACAAAATCATATACACAAGAAATATAATCATTTAAATGTGAAATGCATGTAACTAACAAAAATGAGTCAACAAAATTATATTGATTTACTAACCGCAGCACCAATGGCGATAAACAGCAACTCAAAGCGTCCATCTCTATCTGTTTTGATATGAGTTACCGACCCATGATTTTTCAAATTTAAATTGTGACAATAAGCCAGCAGTTGGGCAAACGATGCTTCTGGCGACCCCCTCAACAATTCCAAGGCATAACATTTGGCTCTCCAAGCTTGAGAATATGAGATACTAATCTTGAACCGAGCATTCATGTCAGTCATAATTTCATGTCCCCGATATACCCTGCCATTCAAAAACATTAACTCAGCCAGAAAACCACCCAACACCTTTTTGTTTGCCTGTCTATGGTGAGGAAAAACTTGGGTTCTTGAACATGTATGTTTATCAATAAAAGTTCTAACTTGAAACATTTCGCAATCTTTTATCCTCTTTGCAATCATACGCCACGTACAGTTTTTGTCAATCATACACCTTGTTTCGAAACGATATTTGCTTGATTTGTTAACTTTTAGTTGATAGCCATCTTCCACACATTTCGTATACAAAGCTATCTTCAAGTCTTCCTTTGTATCAAAACAATCATCTTTCTTGATACAAATAATTTTTGTGTAACAATCAGCTGCTATCTTTACCAACTCTTCTTCTGGTATCTGAAGTAATTCTGGCATATTCCAGTTATACTCCCGTGGCATTTTCTTCGGGGAATTTTCTTTGGGGATTTCTTCTTCTTCTTCTTCTTCTTTAGTGTTATATGAATTACAGAATGGATGTTCAACATGTTCATTTACAGTCGTAACTTCCTCCTCATTATCATCAACAACATCTTCCTCGGCAACGGTTGTTTCATCATCAAAATTCGGGTATTGACCAATATCAAAATCATTACACGCAGGGTCTGTTTCTTCTTCTGAAAAATCATCAAAATCCGAGTATTGACCAAGATCAAAGTCCGGGTATTGACCAAGATCAAATTTCGAATACTGACTAGTACTCACAATTTTTTCTGTTGGCTCATCATCGTCTAACTGGTCAATACGAAAATCGAAATTTGGTGCTGAAAGTTGATTGGGATTTGGATTAGGGAAAGGTTGTGGGTTTTGAGATTGTGTTTGGTATTGGAAATGTGGTGAAACAAAATTTGCTTGGTGATGAAATTGTGGTGGAACCATTAAATTTTGAGTACCATAAACTGGGGTTGAAAAACTTAGTTGATTACTACCCGCTACTAACCCAACTTCACTACTTCTAGGTTCAACAACATACAATGTAACATCATCACTTGAAACACTAATGTAAGTAATGAATCGTTCAACATCTTCATTGTCGGTTAACAAATAAACTTTACCATTTCTCTGATAAGATAGCCTAAATCCACTTAGGGGCTCTAAATTCAATTTATTTGCAACACGTAACATTAGAGTTTCATAAGTTAACTTTTTTAATGACAGTTTTAGTTGAAGATTCATGGGTAAAGGCATATATTGTAAAACACCATGAACATTCTCCCATGACCCTCCAAAACACAAATCTATCCAAACATGATCAACATTAGATGATTTCATTATTGTAAATTAATTTACTAAACAAACGAGCTACGAAACTAAAACCTGTTGCCGGATGGGGAAGGATGTCGTTGGATATAGGAACGGATGTCGTCGGAGAGAGTGATAGATGGAGATGGAATGAGTTGCGATTTAGGGATTTAGGTTATGAGTTGCTGCTGCTGCGTAGTTATATACCCAAAACATTTGTGTTGCGAAACTAAAACCTGTTGCGAATTCAGAAATCGAGTTGTGAATTTGAAATTCAGTATTGCGATAGTCAGAATCTCGTTGCGATTTACGTAATCGCATTGCGATTTACGTAATCGCATTGCGATTTTCCAAATTCGCGTTGCGATTTACGTATTCGCATTACGAATTAGGAAAATCTCAACGCGAATTTGGGAAATCGCAATGCGATAGTCAGAATCGCGTTGCGAATCTGGAAACTGATTTGCGATACCGGAGATCGCGTTGCGAATTATCGATCGCATTGCGATTTAGTTGGTCATTTTGGCAAATCCAAAAAAAGTTGGTTAAAATCGTATATTATAAGGCATTTTTGGTCACTGAGGTTATTTTCTCTAAAAAAATAGTTATAAGATGAAAAGGGTTATCCGTTATATATATATATATATATCAGTGGTCGATCTGGATCTGGGATAAATACGTGTCTATCGTAAAATTCAATTTTTTTTAGATAGTTACATATTTTAATAATTGTGTCCGCCGTAAAATTTTAGTTATATTCACACTTTATGAAAATTTTATGTGATTAATATATATATATATATATATGATCACCTTGAAATATATTTTTGAATCGTAACTAAACATTTTTGAACATATTTATGTTTAATATGTTTAACATATATATATATATATATATATATATAATTTATTTAATTTTTTAAAATATAATTAAAGTAATATTTAATATTATCTAAACACCACTAGCGAAGGGTCTTTATTTTCACCGTCAAACGCCTATATGCTTAATTGACCAAATTTGATCATAATGCAGAAAGCGTGTTTCCTAATAAAGCTTTGCTCATACCATACAACACGCCTTTAATTTTAGTCTCTTTATATATATGTATTAGTATTTACTTATGAAATGTAAAATAATTTAATTTTATATTAATTTATGATCGTTTGATGAGTTATATATATATATATATATATATATATATATATATATATATATATATATATATATATATATATATATATATATATATATATATATATTTATTTTGTTTTGTTCAAGAGTTTGTTGCTTTCGGTTAGCTATGAAGTTTCCTTTCGTTTTACTTAACACTTTTGATGCTTTAGGCTCTCTCAACTTTTGACAAATTAAGTGATTTTCATTTTCATTTTAAATAAATAATAAACTAAAGATTTAAATAAATTTAAAATTTCATTGGAATATGATGTGATTTTAATATTATTAAATATAATACTTATTTTATAAAGATATTTATCATATATAAAATTATAAAAGAGAAAAACCTAAAATAAGTATTTTTTAATCTTATTTTATTATTCTAACGACCAAGAAGATAGAGGTAGACAGGTAGTCCAATTGAATAATAATGTTCCAGTTTGACAATGATTTAGCCTTTTGACTCATGGCTAAGATTTTTACTTTTTAATTTATTTTATAGATGTTCTTTTCATTTTATCTTATTTTTTTATTAAAAGAGAGAGGCATTACATATTTAATGAAAATGTCAAAATTTAAATTGTGAGACACTAAACATTTTTTTATTATTCGACCAAACATTTTATTATTATTCAACCAATTAATAGATCTTTTAATATTTTTAACTTTTATCTTTTAATTTAATTCTTATATGATAAATTGTGTACGCATATAATTTCTAATCATATTTAAGATATGTCTCAAGCATATTTGGTGAATTTTCATATTTAAGTTATAATTTTTTTATGATTTTATAAATTTTCAGGTTAAAATTTGAGTTTGAATGAACTATATTTTTATTAATGTTAAGTCTTAACATCAAAATAAATGAAAAAATAAAATAAAGGTACAAAGTAAGAAAAAGAAAAGAGTAGTTTAAAGAACAAATTATGAACTGTGGCTCCTTTCATATCTCACATATTGGGTGAAGCAGATATACATGGGTTGTGACATCATTAAGCTTGAATTTACACTTCTGGTTGCTGATCTTAATGTAGTATTTAGTCGATTTCTTTTCTTCCTTCCTATCTTTGGGTTTGTGGTGCTTGCCTTATCTTCAAGTGGTTGCATGACAAGAAATGGACTATATGCTTCTTCAACTCTATGCTATAGTTTATTACAAAGGAGCTTCATCCGGCGAGCTCGCTTATGGGTGGACGGTCCATGACATCGGATGCAGTTGTCGCATTTTTCTGCAGCAAAGGATGGATATCGGGCAATTTTGGAATCTGAGCCAAAATGTCTATTGTTCTTCGTAAAAGTCGAGCTAAATCGCCCTCATCCATGGCACAATCCATTATTAATTCCCTCCAAGATAGCCCAGAAGCCCAGGCTTCAACCATTCCCGAAAACTGGCTATCCAAACAACAAGGTATCTCTACCTCATGTTTCTCTTGAAGTTGCAGGAAGGAGTTTCTTTGTTCATCTAATAAACTTATGACGTTTAGGACAGTAGAGGAACCCTCGTATATGTAATTATTGTTTTTCCATGCGCGTACCTTGATCCCCTCAGAAACTAGACTCGCACAGACAGCAGCGAGTTGTGCAGGCTTTAACTCTAGCAAGATTTTGTTTCTAAGTACCATTGCCAACCACAGTTCATTTTCTCCTCGGATTGCGGATGCTGTTTCACCGAGAGGGAATATTACGTGTGTATTGATGTCTAATGCCCTTGTTTCATGAATGACATTGCTGATCTGCAGAAACTCCTTCCAACCAGATGGTTCAATTTTTTCCATTCTATTGATCAAATGATTTGATCTAGCCTTCAACCGTTTTATCTTTTCCTCGGTAAACTTAGCCGTGTCTACGATCTTTTTGTATTCTCGAAAGCCTTCAGTACGGCCTATCATTTTCTTCAAACGTGATACTATGCGCCTTTGTTCTTTGTAATGTTCGACAGATTCAATGTATTCTTGTGACATGTATAACATCTCATCGCTTTCGCAAAGACTACTTAAAACTGGAACATTTAGACTCCAAGACCATGTCTCTAGAGATCCCTCCGTCGACCATAAACCACCAAGCTCAGAGTCAGCAAGCTTTTCCCACTGCAGTTCCTCTTTCTCAAGAAGTGACCTCATTATTTCCCGGGGCAAAGCCTCCCCCTGAGTTAAAGCAACATCGGGAAAGCCACTCCTATAAACAGTTTTAATCCACTTTTCAGTAAATAGATACCACGAGTTATCTGAACCAAGGGCCACATAGTAAGTTGGTTCGACATCTTGAAAAGCGTCAGACTCAGACTCTCCATCATCTAACTCGGTTCTAGCCTTGCTCAGTGCAAAAGAATCATCGATCAAAACCATGTTCTTAAGTTTTGAACCAACAAGCCATTCAACCTTTGCCAGATAAACAGCAGGGACAAAGTTTTCAACACCTTCAGAATCCTTATACTGTAAGCAAATGAAGGGTAGATGTCCACTTTCAAAATCCTCCAAGAGAGGTTTCAGGGCAGAAAATCTCTTCAACTCCATCCTTCTTCGAAGTTCAGTCCTTAGGCGTTTTTCTGCCCTTAATTCCTCTTGTAAATCTGCAATCTCCTTATATGCCACCTCTGACAGAAGTTTCCGGCTCTTTCTATCTATAGCATCATCACTAATTTCATAAGTCAGTGTTTCGATCTCTTTCTGTATTTTAGCAAGCTCCTCTTTTGCAGCAAGCATTACATTGCTCCCCAAGTAGTTTCCAAAACTTTGCTCAACTAACTTCCTTGCCTCTTCCAAAGTTCTCCTTGCTTGTAAGGTATTTGTTTCATCCAATTCGTTTGACCCACGAGAAACTTTTGCGCCTCCTAGAAGATTCAACACCATTCCATAAGAAGCAGTGAACTGTGATACAAGGGGTTCAACTCCAGAAAAAAGAAGCTTGCAGCACTCTTCAGCACCTTCATAAGGAGTCTGCACTATCACAACATGGCCCCTTTCATCTATGCCTCTACGTCCAGCACGCCCTGCCATTTGAAGCAACTCGTTAGGGCTTAATTGGATGCGTCCTGTGCTTGTCCTTTTGCCAAGAGATGAAATAACAGCAGTCCTAGCAGGCATATTGATTCCAGCCGCCAGGGTTTCCGTAGCAAAGACAACCTTAACAAGTCCTCGTTGAAAGAGCTCCTCAACAAATGATTTCCATAGAGGAAGACAACCAGCATGATGTGAAGCAACTCCTCTAATTAGTCCTTTCACTGCGGTCTCCCTCACAGCATCGGGATACTGAAGTCGAAACTTCTTCAATGCGAGTTCTATCTCACTCGCCTCACACTCGTCCAAAAGGCTGCAATCTTCAACATACTGCACAGCTGCATCACAACCTCTCCTATTAAAAATGAACCAAATTGCTGGAAGCATGTCCTTTGCTTTGAGATGCCATAGTGTATCAACAATTTGAGGAACCTGAAAATTATGTAGGCTGTAAGGAAAAAGGATATTGTTGAAAGTATCTTTCATTTGAAAAATTCTGTCAACCACCAGCAAAGATAAAACCACTATACTGTACCTGTGAACGGCGAATCATGTTTTTGTCATTCTTTGAAAGAGGTTGCTCAGACACGCCATCTGTACTATCAACGGTACCATTTCTTCCACGTCTTTGTGAATTCCTCCTCCTAGATCCGTCATCCCTGTAATTCCTTCTAGATCCATCATCCCTGTATGAGTTAACTCCTGAAGCAGAAAGTTGTAAATAATCGAGTGACAGCTTCCTGTTTCAAATTACAAAAGAAATTGAAAACTTGTTAGTATTACTAACAGATATGTGTTATGGTATGCAAAATGTCATCTAAAGGGAAAAAAAGGATTTCAATGAAGTTATAATTTAGAAGAGTGACAAAATTCAAAAATATTCACATTCCTTGATGTTGATAATTGGAGAATAGAAAGCTATATAACTTGCAAGCAAATATGTCTACTACTACAATTTCATTGTTATCAAGTTTCATTTTCCAAAATACAATAACGAAATTTTATCAAATTTTATCAATTCTCATTTAGCATAGAGAGATGGAATGTCTAAAAAAATAAACAATTTTATTGTATATGCACAAATGTGAGCGTGTGTACGGTGAAAATGGCAACAATTACCCATAGTATAAATAGGATATGCTTATCTGTCTGGGTATGGGAATGGGAAAATCTAGCAACAATTAAGCGGAGAATTAACAAGATAACGTTGGGAGTTACCCAGATTAACCCTTGCAAATTATTATCATATAAACAATATGCTAAATTAAGTAAAGTGTTTTGATAATGTGAAACAGGGAGTGCTTATGTTAACCAATAAAATACTTAGGGTGTGCTTGGTAGAGGGGAAAGGTGGAGAGATTGAAAGAGGAGAGCGCAGAAGTGGAAAGAAAATCAATTTTGAGTGTTATTGGCAGGAAAGATAAGTGGAGGAGAAAAATGGTGAAGGTGATCATTTTCCATACCCATGAATAGGAACAAGTCATTCCAATTTGGAATGATAAGTGGAGAGAAAATGTGAAACATACAAAAATATGCCTCTTTTTTTAATTTTCTCCTCAGTTTTTATCCCTATCAAGCATTGAATGGAAAGAATTTTTTTTTCTTTCCTAACAAACAAACTAATGAAAAGAAAGAAAAAATTATCTTTACTTTTCTACTCTCAGTTTTCCGTCTTTCCAATTTTCTTTCCACCTTACCAACAAAGCCTACAAGCTACATGTCAAATGTCCATAATTTCAGGCTAAAAACTACACATTCCAATATTTTGGCCATCATGTCACAGATTACCCCTTCCAAATTATTATTACAGAAACAAAAGATATAAGCAAAGTATTTTGGTATAAAAGTGGGAATAAGCAGTGCTAAATTGCTAAACCTTAACCTCACAAAATATGCAAATTATATAAAAACAGAAACCCATGTCAAGTGTTCATAATGTTTTGCTAAAACCCCCACGGCTAAGTGTTTCTCCAGCATCTGGATTCCCCCAAAGAATTTCCATAAGGCCAGTAGTTTTATTCAAATACCTGTTCATGTGTGTTCCTTTTTCATTAAGAAGCGGAAATAAAGAAGTCTTTGTTGAGAAGTGCCAAGTCAGTGGAACAGGACGCCATGACGATGTTACCAGCTCTGTTTTACCATGAATCTAGAAACAAAAGGAGATTAAGGGGAAAATCTCAATCACCTCATAGGCTGAGGTAAAGCCAACACGAAAATCATGCATAAGTGAATGGAAGATCACATAGATAGGAGAGAATGTTCAAATCTTTGAGCACTTTCAATGTGCATACCAATCAGAATTGGAATATGAACCAAGCAAACCCTTCAACTGTAGAATAAATACAGTTTTCGATGTGGAGTCAAACAAAGGCAGAAGGATGCAAATAAAGAATTTATTAAATAGAACCTGGTCCCAGTACCATTTAGGCATTTACTGAATGAGATAAAACATAAGCAGAAGATTAGCCAAAACCCAAGACAAGGACATTCATAATATAAATGAATCCAAAACAGCATTCTTGCTCATGGTGATAACACTTCTTCACCAGAGTTGTCAATAGTAAATGGAGATAACTTGTAAAGACGTCAGTTCAACTCCACCCTCCTCTTATAAAGAAATATAATATATGATCAATTTTCTTAAAGATAACAAGCAAATTTTTAAGGCTCGTTTAACATAAGCTGATGGCAAAATAAAAACCAGTTTCCCTGACCACTTGGCACAATGGTGGCCGTGTGAAGTGCCCCCCCCCCCCACAAAAAAAAACTCATCCACCCACACACACTTTCTGTTCTAATTCACCTCCTCAAACAGTAAAGTAACCAAAATTATAATACTAAAGTAGAGCGGTCAATTGGATTCCGGACAACGCTCATCTTGGAATAGAATGCCAAGCCTAAACTGGGACATCAAATCAAAATCACCAAGTCCCATGAGATTAGGCTTGACCAGACAGTATATTACACATGATTTCAGTAATCAAGCTGTGAGAATTAAAAGGTACATCAAGGAGTGTAGCAAGTAGTAGAACAATGGTATGGACTGAGGTTTGCGAATAAGAAAGTAGAAGATAGAAGAAGAAAAGAGGAGAGGTTTTAGAAACGTGAAATCTTCATTCATTCATTTTCTGAGATTTTTCCTGCAGTACATAGTATTATCAATTTACGATGCACTAGATTCCTTCTAGCTGGCCATTCTCTAACAAACTCAACTGTTTGTACAGGAGTCCACCCATTTTGGGCTTTACTCAACAGGCCTTCTCTTATCCAGTCCAGGTATGCTCCTTTCATTAATCTTCACAATGCTATCACATGCCCTTCCTTCTATTGTATCAATTCCTAATTTCCCTAAATTAACATTTGAAATCCCTAACCCTACTAATTTCCCCAATTCTCCCTCGTCTTCTTCGACTGTTGTTGGTTATAGATCCCTAAATATTAGTATTGCAAAGAATCCGGTGCATCATGATAGGACAAAACATATAGAGATAGATCGTCATTTCATTTCTGAGAATGTTACAAATGGGACTGTCAAACTCAACTATGTTCCTACTCATCAACAGTTAGCTGATGTACTCACCAAGGCTCTTCCAAGAATTACCTTTGATGAGCTTACATCTAAGTTGGGTCTCTACAATGTCTACTCCTCAGCTTGAGGGGGAGTGTCGGTTACAGATCCCTAAATATTAGGCAGTTAGTTCAAGATTCAATACTTAAATTTAAAATTAGTTTGTTAGACTTATCTCTAGTCTGTTGCAGAGTTTGTTTTCTCTAAGATTCTATAAGTTTGGGAATTTCTATAAGTTGTAAATTGAGTGAGAAGCTAATAAAAGTCTTAGCAAGAATTTCCAGATTTTCTAGAACTCAGAACTGTTTCTATATCTCTGCTGCCCGTGACAAACAAAGAAATAAATTTTGACACGGAGGAGAAACCAAAATGCACATGTAACATAGAAATCACGTCGTGCCAATAAATATCTCCAACTCCAAGATCATGGCTGAACACTTCATCAGAACATCCATTTTGATTTTGAGAACCCAAGAGTGCAGGACAGACAAAGGCAAAGAAAGATACAGACAGCAGGATATAGTACATACCATGACATCTCTCAAGAAACTGAACGGATATCAGGGATGGAACATATAATATGATAAGACAAAGAACACTACCTGGCCAATCCAACCGGCTAGCTCATCTGGATTTGAAACTGTTGCTGACAGGCATATCAGTTGAACTTCTTTCGGGCAATAAATCACCTTAAAATATTTCCTAACTCAGTGAAAATGTATTAACCATTGATAATCTAGAAATAATTGAATTTCAGAAATCAAATTTACTCACTATCTCCTCCCAAACAGTACCCCGAGATATGTCACTCAAGTAATGAACCTCATCAAGAACAATCACATCAACATCAAAAAGACCATTCCCAGAAGAAGCCATTCCAACACTAAATCAGCAGACACAAAAACTGAAATGCTTAATTCACCAATTAGCAACAACTTAAGAAGGAACTTACAATGGTTGCAACTTGAAGATGAAACAGTTATAAGACATGAAATACACAGATGAGATTTCTTCCTAAAAAGAATAAACAGTAGGCAGCCAATAACCTCCCAATGGAAGGTAGAAATAGCTAACACAAATTGCAAAGTAAAATACAGTACTTTGTAAATATAAGCATATAATCCAATTTAAAATTAAGATGCATGAGATATAATGTGCCATTAACATAAAAAATGTCATGTATAACCTTTGGCAATACCAAGGTACAGACTGGTTTCTTGGTTCATCGCGAAATTTCCTGATGTCTCTATTATGTTCGATTGTCTTGTGGGGAATCCGGCTTTAGCAGATTCCTGGGTGTGGGCGCTAACACTGGCGCTTTTTCGCTTTCTTGGTATCCTCCTCCCAAGGGTTTTTTCAAGTTTAATGTAGATGGAGCTGTGGAGAAGTCTTGGAGTAAAGGGGTATAGGTGGTATACTCGGGGATGAAGACGGGGTGGTGCTTGGATCTTTTTCCAAGAGTGTTGGGTCGGACCCTCCAATTTTGGCCGAACTGTTGGCTATTAAAGTTAAGCTATTATTCTTCTTGAAGTCAAGTTGGAGCTCGAAGGGCAGACTTATGTTGGAGAGCGATAGTAGTAAAGCGGTTGATTGGATCAAGTGGCCGAGTTCTTGTCCTATGATATTTAGCTCGCTGGTCAAGAAAATTAGTTCATTGGTAGAAGATAGGAGTGTTACTGTAAAACATGTTAGTAGAGTTGTGAATTGTAAAGCGGATGAATTAGCTAAGATAGGAATTGGGTGAACTTCTGTTTTTTTGGTTCTTATAGGTTGTTTTGTCCGCTGTTAGATGATCCTCGTGTATTGGTTATAATGTACTGTTTTGTTCGTTGGTAATAAAATTTTTGAGGCACTCTTTTCCTCCTTCCAATGTTCGTCGAGTTACTCTAGGGTTCTTGACGGTTATGAAGGGGTTTTTAACGAAGCCTCCCTTTCTTATAAAAAAAAGGTATGTCTTCCACAATTCATACCACGAAATTTTTGAAACTGTTAACTGAAGTACCTATTATACAACATGTTGCGTAGAATCTCTGTAGTCAAAACTAAAATCTGAGCATCCTTGTTGACAGCAGAATCTCCTGTGAGAAGGCCAACATTATTATCTCCAAATGTCTCCCTAAAACAACAAAGATCACCATATCAGCTCAAATGGTTCATATCACCTACAATTATTTTCACCAGAGTAATAACGATCCAATCCCTCTACGTATAGTGGCAAGGCCCCGTGGAAGTTATTTGGAGGCCACATAAACCCTAGAATTATGGTGAGGTTTTAAAGTTTATGCAGTAATAGTATTTTCAACCCAAAATCGTTCACAAACTTATGGAACTTAAATAAACTGAAAAAGGCAACAGAAAACGAAAACTACAGTTCATTGTTCCTGTTGAGAGGGGAGGGAAATGGCTTAAATTACCTAAACTGTCGAAACTTCTGATTGGATAATGCCTTAAGCGGAGTTGTATAGAATAACCTCCTCCTCCTGGCTACCGTCGCCACGGCTGCAGCTTCCGCAATTAAAGTCTTTCCGCTACTGGTGGGAGCTGAAACCACCACCGATGAACCCCTTAGAAATGCTTCTATCGACATTCTCTTCAGAAAAATTAAAAAGGCAAGAACATTAGAATTTCAATTTTTTTAAATAATAAAAAGAAAGAAGTAGGATATTGAAAATAAGGAACCTGAAATTTATCAATGCGAAAATCGTAAATATCAGCGAGTGCATCGACGTCAATCATTTCATCCCCAAATTCCTTAACTAAACTACAAAGCTTTTCGACTCGTTGCCAAGTGGATTCCTTTTTCCGGTTCGACGAATCCACGGAGATTTCGTCTTCGCTCTGTTGGAAATCGTCTGAAACTTCACCGGAAACGTCTTCAAACTCGTCGTACTCATCGGCGACTTCATAATCGTCGTCTTCGTCTTCCTCATCTTCGAGTTCTTCGTCGTCGGCGTCGGAGAGTTGGGGGTCAGCAGAGAAGGGAGAGCGACGGGATTTGAAAGGGAAACGAAAGGAAAGTGGAGAGAGAATGGGATTAGGGCAACGGATAGGGGAGGATTGAGATATGGAGCTGAAGTAAGTGAATTGGGAATGCTTGGTTGGTGGGAAAATAGAAGGAAGCGCGAGGATAGAGTGTGTGCTCATGGCGGGAGTTGTTCAGTACGAATGTGGGCGGAGTTGCTTTGACCACTGCAGAATCCGTTTTGATACCACGATTATCAAAAATGAACTGGCGGCGGGCAATTTTATTAGAATAATACTTCTTTAAAAGAAAATTATTGCAATGTCATTAAATAATAGGGTAAACTATAAAAGTGACCACCGAACTATAGTTATTTTTCATTTTGACCACTATTTTTGAATTATTATCAATCAGACCACCCAACTACTTAAATGCATTCAATTAGACCTTAACAGAAATGTTGACATGACAATTAATAAAATTAGTATAATTTATATTTAGTCCTTATTACTTACATAATCTTTCAAATTAAAGAACTTTTATTAATTTAATTTGTATTTAATTTAAATATTTTTCCTCCAATCCCTCGGAAAGAAAATAAATTGAAATAACATGTTTTCCCTAGTGGGGGATTCGAACTTGGGCCTTCTTGGTTCATAAGCAATAGCCTCATCTACTACTCCAAGACAAGTTTTGGTATAATGCTTCTATAAACTAATATTTATCTTATAGTATAATAAAGACCACGACAATGAAAATAAAACCAATAATAAAACAACTTGATTTGAATAAAATAATATTTTAAAATATATTATTTATATTTAACCCGTCCCACCCATAAAATATATTGTTTATATTTTACCCATCCCGAATTGATGCCAATAAATTAATATTTTAAAATATTTAAAATAATATAGTTATAATTATTTATTATATTTTAAATGGTTAAAATAATATATTTTTACCTAAACTCGATCTAGTTTGAATATATAAAAAAAGGTAAACTAGTAATTTATACTAGTTTTGGTCCGGTCAGTGATTTCTTACCTTAAATCCGGCCCCACCCCGATTCGAATATATTAATACTTTAAAATAGTTAAAATAATACATTTATAATTATTTATTATAATTTAAATAGTAAAAATAATATATATTTTCCTTAAACCCGTCCCTCGAGTATTGATATAAAAGAATAAACTAATAATTTATATCGGGTTGGATAAGTAGTTTTAGTGTTGCTTTTATTTTCATTGTTCTGACATTCATTATATTGTAAGATAAATATTAGTTGATGTATGTATAATACCACAAACTTGTCTTGGAGTAGTGGTTGGGGCTATGCTTTATGAAACAAGGAGACCCAAGTTCAAATCCACCCCCAGCCTAGGGGTGTAAACGAGCCGAGTCGAACTCAAGTATTACCAAACTCGACTCGAACTCGAAAACTTAAAATGTAAGCTCGACTCAAAAACTCGCGAGCTTAAAATTTTCAAGCTCGACTCGAACTAGAAAGATAATATTGTAACTCGGCTCGAACTGGAACTCGAAAAGGCTCGAACTAAAAAAATTTCAAGAGCTCGATTAAAACTCGAAACTAAGCTCTATTAAAACTCAAAACTAAGCTCGATTCAAGTTCAATTGAAAATAGTTTTGAACAAGCAATTGACGCGCATCGGTTAGAACCTCATGAGTTGCGTCATTGCACCCAGCACAAAGCTGCCCTTACCCTTGGTATCCTCGCCTTTTATAATATCCCCAGCACAAAGCTTCCTTGAACCTACCGATGTGGGATACTGGGAATCTGGGATATAGTAAAAGATCATTGTTGATAAGAAAATTGATTGAACCTCGGACACTAGTTTCTGAAGTGGATGACCAAACACATTATCACCCGAAACTGGCAGAGCATTCCCATGTTCGCCAACTCGGGTTGCTGCTCCATAGTTTTGGATGTCGCATCTGCATCTCTGATAGGATCAACTTCCACAGGATTCAGTGCACTTGTGGTCAATTCACATGGAACAAGCACCAAAATTTCAGTGCCATTTCAAGTACTTAAACGTTTTATAAAATGAACTTAACATTTCTTTCTAACATAATCGGATGGCTTTACACAAAAATAGATCTCTTCCATAAAAGCTCAGTAGAATCATCTTAAATTCATGATTCAGTGAGTTAGCTGGGCAGCAACAATATTTACATAACAAAAGTAGACCTTACAGTAATAAAGTTCAAAACTTTCATAGGATCAACCTATCCTAAGCCATTACAATCAATGATTTATGCAATTGTCATAACTTTAGCTCCCTAAACAAAGAGAACTAGTTGAAGGGTAAGGCTAAAAAACCTCCAATTTCCATGGAAATAAACTAATGATAAAAAGATGGACACATACCTCTCATTTATCTTACTCATCTGCTCAATGACAGAATGTTTTGATCGCATAGTTGTAGCCTTATCACTGTTCTTCCCATCTGCCTCTACAACCCCAGAAAAAGAGAAGAATAATAAACAAAAGAAAACAAAAGGCACCATTTAAGAAACAATCATATAGAAATATGGTAATAGGGAGGAGAGGGAAAAGTGTAGGATCCAATCTAATAAAAATAACATTGTTGATGTCGGTGTTGTTATTGCCGTTGACAAAGAGAGTATGAGCAGAAGAAGGTCTTCTTCTTTTAGCCAAACTAATCTTCCTCTTGACTTCCGATTCCTGTTTTCATTTCTTTTTTCTTCTCCGGGGGTTAATTATCGTTTAGCCACCTTAACCTTAGGGGTAAATTAGCTTTAGGCTCTCTAGATTTATGCGTTTTGTACAAAAAAGTCCCTCAATTGTTTAAATTTTAGCTTAAATTAGTCCTCACATTTAGGTTTTTCTTAATTTAGTCCATGTTTAGGATTGTTTTCTTTAATTAGTTGTGTATATTTATTTTGCATGTTGATATGTTTATGTGTAAGTATGTGAATGATTTATTTATGAGTCGCATAACATCATTTTGCATAATTTGTATGTTACCTTCATGTGTATAACTTAAACCCTAAATCCTAACTCTAATACATAAACCCTAAATCCTAACACATAAACCTAAACCTTAAATCCTAACACATAAACTATAAACCCTAAACCCTAAACCCTAAATCCTAAACCTTATCACATAATTAGTTATGAGGTAAGTACAATATAGTATCTTGATATTAAATACTCAAAACCTTGATATTTATGATATTTGAACCCAAGACCTCAAAATATAACAACAATTTTAAAAAATAGTTATTAGAAATATTATCATTAGAAATATATTAAATATTTGTCATTAGATAAATAATTTTTTTATTAATTTAAAGTAAATAAGAATATTTATTCAAAAATAATTTTTAACCATTTTCAATTCAAGAATATTTATTCATCAATAATGTATTTTTAATATATTTTTAATAATGTAATTTTAAAAAATCTAAAATTATAATATAACATTTTTTTCGAGCTGCTCACGAGCTTTTCGAGTCGAATATCGAGTAGCTCGTTTCGGCTCGTTAAGAACTCGAGTCGAGTCCATTCAATCCGAGTATTTATCGAGCTAAGATCGAGTCGATCTCAAGTAGCTTGCGATCTGTTTCGTCTCATTTACAGCCCTACCCCAGCCCCATAAAAATGTGTTGTTTCAATTTATTTTTCTTCCATAGTGCAACGTGTATCATCTGATTGGATGAAAAATATTTAAATTAAATATAAATTAAATTAATAAAAGTCCTCCAATAATATCATGGCATGTATCATCGTATAATTGGAGGATTAAATATATTGAATTAATTTAAAATATGACCAATTTGATAGATTGTGTAAGTAATAAGGACTAGTGTAAATTATATCAATTTTATAATTGGAGAATTAAATATATTGAATTAATTTAAAATATGACCAACTTGATAGATTTGTAAGTAATAAAGACTAAATGTAAATTATACCGATTTTATTCTCGGCACTTCTGTTAAGTGTTAACTACTAGTGGCCTGATTGAATGCATTTAAATAGTTGGGTAGTCTGATTGATAAGAATTCAAAAATGATGATCAAAATAAAAAGAGGTTATAATTGAGTGGTCACTAAAATAATATTTTTTTAATAAAAATGCATGGATGTGGAAGTGTCTTTCATAAGACGTTTTAAAGAATGTATCTTTATTTTCGTAACGTAATAGGTTATTTAAACGATCTCTTTCATTTTAATGTTATTTAAAATCAAAATAAAATCTATCTTTTAATTGTTTTTTTATGTTATCTCATTCAAAAGATTAGAAAACCTTTGTTACAGTTACAAAGGCTTCTGGGCGGTTATCACTCAAGTTCGTCAAGAGCAGCGGTGGCGGTCCCTTTCGGCCACTTCCCGGCCATTTTTATTATATTATTGTTCGATTTCGTTAATTTTCAGTTTTATTTTAATGTATTTAAGATAATATTTTCTCTTAGTCCTTTTTCTAGTGAAATGTATCATGATTATCGGTGTTTTTTGGATTCCCGTTACAAATTTATTCCATCGGTCTTCTTCTTGATTTATGTTTCTTCGGAATTTCATAGTTGCTTTCTTTTTTTATGCTTGGTTTCTTTGTTCGTTTACATATAATATTTTGTTGGTTTTCGGACATATGTGTTAGACGAGATTGTGATTAAAGGATGATTTATTTTTAATTCGTTCACTTCGAATTTTCCTCAATTATTCATTTTCTATGTCTAATGTTTTAGGAAGTCGGAGTGATCAATCTTTGTATGTCGTTGGCCCAATTGTTCACGCTTTGCTTATCATGTTGTCAGTGGTCTATCACCGATATATTTTGTTTATGATAAACATGAATGTATTTATCTTGTATGCATGTAGTAAGACGTTGTTGATGATGGTTTATTTAGCCAATGAATATATTACACTTCTACATTTTAAAAAATCAAAATAAAAGAATAACATATTAAAAAATATGTACAATTTTAAGTGAATTAAAATTTTAAATCCATTTCTCCTTTTTATAGGAGATATTAATTTTATTAAAAAAGAGAAAATATTTATAATTACAATAAAAGTTTATAATCATAAACATAAATTAAACTCATAATTAGAATATTTTTCTATAACCATTAATAAAAAAGCTAATCACTTAAGATCACACAATGATCATACAAAAAATGTTAAAAACCTAATAAAAAATTCGAAAAAAATATAGATATAAACGTTCTTACTGCATTAGTAAACGAACTACAAAAGAAGATAAAT